CTGCAGGCAGGCCCACCTAAAAAGGTACAGACAAGGTATAGGAGCTCCTGTAGGAAGGCATGGAATCATAGTTCTTTCTCATAAAACTCAGTCCTGTCCTAACTGGTTTGGCTCAGCGGATAGAGCATAGGCCTGCGGACTCAAGGGTCCCAGGTTCAATTCTGGTCAAGGGCATGTACCTTGGTGGTTGCGGGCACATACCCAGTGGGGAGTATGCAGGAGGCGGCTAATCGATGTTTCTCTCTCATCGATGTTTCTAGCTCTGTCCCTCTCCCTTTCTCTCTGTAAAAAAATCAATAAAATATATTTAAAAAAATAAAAACTCAGTCCCTTTCTCCTGAATCACAAGTGTTCTCCATTACCAAAGAATACTGTGGATGGAATCTCCTTATATCCTCCATCCACAGAATTCTTCATTCACCCAAAAGGTACCAAGCCGGGCCAGGTGCACCAACACCGCTGCTGTTCCTGATACGAAGTTTATTTCCATGCTGAACAATGGTGGACCCAGCACCCAAGAGTAAGCGGATGGGAACAGCCTTCCAAGGAAAGTTGTGTTCCCTGCCCTAGACGGCTCCACCTGCTGGCATGTGCACCAGCTGTTTCCTGGGTTCCTTCTGCATCCACTTGTATGGCTTAAAATTTCCTCTGCTTTAAGCTTTCTCCCACTTATTCATACATGACAATGCATAACATTTATCTTTATGGAACACTCACACTCACATTTCTAACATGTTCTTTCAATACAGGCACCAAAGTCACAAGAATAAGTTTTTATGTCACTTAGAAACCTCTCCCTCCTTATGTCCACATGAAAAGAAAAAAAGCAAAACTCCTTTACAAATGCCAACCCCACCCTGAGTCCAAGCACTCCAAGTAGGGAAACTTCCTGCCTGGAGTCCTGGTACTGCCATGCTCTGGCTGCTCTCAGAGTCTCACCATCACCATTCCACCCCACGACATACTGCAGGCACAGCACCACCAAGGAGAGACAGTGGACAAACAGCTACTTCCCCCACTACACTATTAGAATCCCTGGGGGAATTTTCACACTGATGTTCTCTAAGTATATGCACCCATCTGAGCTATCAAATGCATGTGGACTATTTGGAACCAATTATATCCTAGAATAAAACCTCAAAGAGGAAAAAGTCCAAATATTACTTTGCTGGCCAGTTACCTTTTTATAGTAAAACCTAAAATAACCCAAAGCTTTGAGAAATAGGTTTTTCATCCAGATTGAAAATGTTTCTAAAATGTATGGTTCATTTTCTACAGTAATAAAATAAATGAATTCTAAAGCAAATTTGTGATACAATTTTTATTTTTTTTAGAAATAGAGGTAGGAAGAGAGAGAAAGATTGATTGTTGTTCCACTTATTTGTGCATTCATTGATTGATTCTTGTATATACCCTAACCTGGGATCGAGCCCACAACCTTGGCGCAACACTCTAACTAACTGAGCTACCTGGTCAGAGTTTGTGATACCATTTTACACACACTACATAAGCAAACCACTTAAAAATTGTAATGCCCAGGTAAGTGTAATCTTAATCCTGAAGGTAAATAAAAATATTATGTAAAGAAAAATGATCATAACGTATTGATCAAACAAAACAAAACATATTTTTTACCTGTATTATTCAGCAAAGATTTAAAAACATATATGCTGCCCTGGGCATGTGGCTCAGTTGGCTGGAGTGCCATCCCATATAGCAAAAGGCTGAAGTTCAATTCCCAGTCAGGGCACATATCTATTTTGTGGATTTGATCCCAGTCAAGCATGTATGGGAGGCAACTGATTGATGTTTCTCTCTTACATCAATGTCTCTCTCTCTCTAAACATATCCTCAGATGAGGATTAAAAAAAAAAAAAAAAATACAGCCGAAACCGGTTTGGCTCAGTGGATAGAGCATCGGTCTGCGGACTAAAAGGTCCCAGGTTCGATTCCGGTCAAGGGTTGCGGGCACATCCCCAGTAGGGGGTGTGCAAGAGGCAACTGGTCGATGTTTCTCTCCCATTGACGTTTCTAGCTCTCTATCCCTCTCCCTTCCTCTCTGTGAAAAATCAATAAATAATATTAAAAATATATATATTAAAAAAATACACACACACACACACACACACACACACACACACACACACACTAGAGGCCCCGTGTACAAAATTCGTGCCAGGGGGTGGGGGACATGGGTCCTCAGCCCAGCCTGCGCCCTCTTGCAGTCCAGGAGCCCTTGGGGGGTGTCCAACTGATGACTTAGGCCACTCCCTGCAGTCAGACATCCTTAGCGCTGCTGCAGAGATGGGAGAGGCTCCTGCCACCATTGCTGCACTCGCCAGCCGTGAGCCCAGCTTCTGGCTGAGCAGTGCTCTCCCTGTGGGACTGCACTGACCACCAGGGGGCAGCTCCTGCATTGAGCGTCTTCCCCCTGGTGGTCAGGGTGCATCATAACTACGGGTTGTTCCACTGTTCAGTCAATTTACATATTAGCCTTTTATTATATAGGATGGTAATACCACAAATGTGGTCTGAACTCTCTTAAGAGACAGGGAACCAGTTCTTATGGTGGCTCCCTCCAGTTTATAGAGTTTAAGACAGAAACAGTATTGCAGCTGCCAGGAACACATGAAGCACAGTGGGCTCTAACACCTGGGAACTGGCCTGGGACTGTCAACATGGCCTTGGTGTTGCTAGGAGCTGGCTGGCAGTCACACCTAGGCCTTGGTGTTGAACATAAACATCAACGTCAGACAATGCCACTCTGCAGCATGCACCCACCTCTACCCAAGTCCACCAGGACCCAGAGGAACCCCCCTCAGAGAAAGCTGCAGGAGTCTGGATGGGGGCCGTGAGCTACATGTCATCACCAACCTGTACCTCTACCTGATCAATTCCTGTGCTGCACTTGAGGTGACTAGGCTGCCTCTAGGAAACTAAGACAAAAAAAGACTCTGCAGTGATATCTGAATACAGACAAACCATGAACAAAATACCAAACATCCCTTCTCCCCATCAATGAGTAACTATTGCTTTTTATCAATTTCCACTTGAATCTCTAAAATGCTGAATTACTCAATATATGTATACCTGAAACTAATATAACTAAGATAATATTGCATACCAACTATATTTAAATTTAAAAATTTTTATAAAATAATTTCTTCTATTTGAAAAGAAATATTGAATTTTAGAATTACCATTTTCTGACGGCATCCACTCCAGAGCAAAGCCCTAATTCCTTAAAAACTCTCGCAACTCACTAACACAAGCCCAAATCCTATAATATTATACATCCATCACCATCTTCCTGGGATGGCCCACCACAGTTCCTATGTTGTGTCTTCTCCCTGGCTTCAACAAACAATAAACTCAGCCCACTCAACTGATGGTATGTTCTGGTTGTCTTTGGCTGGTGGGCGCTGACAGTTGTCAGGACATCAGTTGCCATGATGGGCCACTATACATGCAGAAATCATAGGAGCCTGGCTGGGAAAATAATTCTAGGATATAATCACAGTGCTAGTTCTCTGAATACATTCCCTGACCAGATGATTTTCTTGTCATCTGCCTCATTCTCCTAAAAGCTAGATGAAGGGAGAAAAAAAGTCTAGTTAATTAGATGTCCTGGTGAATAATGTTAATACTAATCAAGGATACCCTGGACAGCTTCCCTTCCCTCTCATTTCCAAAAGTCACCCCAGCACAAGGTTAGAGTAGGGCCGGATGACTGACTCATGGGCAGAGCCTGAGGCAACACTACTCAAGTACTTTAAGCCACATGTTCAAGCCCAATAAATTAACCCGGGCTTAAAGAAGTCAGGCTGTACACATGTAAGAATTTTAATAAGCTTGGAAAATGCTACCTAGAGCTTATGTACAAGCTTACTGTACCAATGGGATTCCCTGCCACCAGCCACAGAGTGCTAAGCCCCTGACAAGAGCTTTAGAGCACATGGGGCAGCAGTGACAGGGAGTCAGCTTGGTCCAGGTTTCCTCAGGAGTTGGAGACTCACAGCAGAAGGCTGGCGGCCAGATGGATAGAAAGCAGAACAGGGCATGCAGTTCTGTGGAGCCAACGGCATTTACTAAGAAAACATGTCAGAGCTTTCTTTGGTGAAAATCTGGTCCTTACACACCCTTCCAGAAATGAGCAAACACTGTAATCAATATCTGCAATTATCCAATACCTGTTTGTACACAGAACTATGTTAGGTACAAAAGAGAGCTGTTTAAGCAAACATGGTCTCTGCCTTCTAGATGCTGAGGTCTAATATAAATAAAAACAATAAATCTATCCAGAGGATTACCAAACTAACTGAACAAACATGAAACAGTCAAAAGTAATGACCTTATATAGAAAATGCAATGGAGTAAGAACTGAAGCTAAGTCATGGGAGATGACTCTCCAAACAGGGTGGTGCCCTAATGGGACAGGTACCTTGTTAAGGCTGAGCCTCCACCTGACGATCAGCTTTTAAGAAACGCTTCAAGGGCTGGCTACTGGGCTTGGGGGAGAGGAGCCAATCAGAGAAGAGGGTGCAGCTTGGGAGATGATTTAGACAGAAATACAACTAGAGGGAGAAAGAAAACTTGACAATCAAGAAAATTAGGAGGAATCAGTCAAGCTGGTATGTGTTTCTCGACTGCTGTTACTAATGTCCCCTTCTGATAAACATTTTTAAAAACTCCCATTCTTTTGCTGTGTTATTTAAAATTTGAAAGGAGACAAATCTCCTAATTAACACCAAATCAAAGCAATAGTGGCTTCAGAATTTGATTTTCCAAATGACACTAACCACCCTCTTTAACCTAGATACAAATCATGCAGTTGGATGGTATCAAATCAACAAGGATGGAGTAACTGTCAGTGAATTCTTAAAGAAGAGGATTTGGATCCTGGATCCACATGGGATCAGACAACCAGTAGTATTAGAAGGAGTAACAGCCTAAGGTGACAAAAACAGACCAGGATATTAGCAAGAAAATGTAATAATTACCTGATTAAAATTTTTGAAGGAGAACTCTTTGTAGATGGCATCTCTCTCTCTTAATTCTGACCATCCTGCTGCTTTAAGGTCGAGTATGACTTGGTTCCTCTCCTCTGCTGTCAACAAGTGAGCATCTGCTGACTATGAAAAGAGCACATTTAATATGTGTAATTTAGAGGTTTAAACTCAAATAAACTTAAAAATATTCTCCTTAGATGTAGAAAAAAGTCTTATAAGGACTGTAATTTCTAACCACCTTAGGTTCCTTTGTCCTCAAAATACAAAGTTCTCAAATATAGACAAAACTAAAGCTAACTATGTACAACATAAGCTTGGTCCAGGGAGAATAATATCACCAACTGAGCTTCTCTGGTTTATTAGAGATACAGTGGAGACTGACCATTACCACCATCCATCTTACTAATGACATTAATAATGGCCAGCATTCCAGAACTTAGGAAACTGAGTTAAACACACTCACTCAAGGAAACCCTGCAAGTATACTGGCAGGACCAGAATTGGAACTCGGCTATAAACTTCTGGTCTAGTGCTCTTGGGATGGTCCCACACCACCTTAGTAGCCTTCTCTGCTTATTAACATGGGACTTAATTGTTTTGGTTCACTATTCCCATTCAGATATGATAAAAACTAATCTGGGGAGGGGGAAAAAGAGGGGGGAAAAGCACATTTACACAGGACTCTGAAATAGCTTCTGAGATCCACAGACCCTCTGCACTACAGGTAAAAAGCCTTTTGCTTTAGTGAAGTGAATTTTCTCAGAGTACCAGTAAGAAAACTCCCTCCACAGTCTGGCCAGAGCATTGCCCAGTTCAAAGCACTTGTGTGAATTGTCTACTTTGTTCCTACTCACCCTGGTGATGAAATTTCACAGCCCAAGAGTTCTGTTGGTTAACAGGTCCACACTTTCCATATTTGGGGTGTGTGTGTGTGTGTGTGTGTGTGTGTGTGTGTGTGTTAAATATATTTTTATTGATTTCAGAAAGGAAAGGAGAGGAAAGGAGAGATAGAAACATTAATGACGAGAATCATTGATTGGCAGGCTCCTGCATACCCAAATCTGGGGATCAAACCTGCGACCCGGGCATATGCCCTGACCAGGAATCGAACTGTGACCTCCTGGTTCATAGGTCAACACTCAACCACTGAGCCACTCCGGCCGGGCTCCATACTATTCGTTTTTTTATTGAAAGAACTGTAATGTAAGCATCATGGCCAGAAAGAGGAAAGAAGAGAAGGGCACTCTACTAGAAGTCAGAAGAGTTTCATTCTCATTCTGGCATACGTGGCAATCAAAAACTCTTGCCTTACCTATTTGTAGGGTTACTGTAGGCTTAAGTGAGAAAGGGACTGTCATCCAGAAAGAATGAGCTAAAGTGAGAGTTCCTCATCGAAGGGTAACTGGGGACTGAGCTGGATTCTCCACTATGAAACTGCAACTCATCCCTACTTCAAAAATCCTAAAGCCTTTTATTACTGACATTAGTGTAAGAGAGCAGTCAGTAAACTTACTGTAAGACAACTGATTCTAGAGGTTCGTGGCAAGATGACGGAGTAGTGAACACTGTTCTCTCCTCTTCCCATGACCACATCAAAATTACCAATTACAGCCGGGACCGGTTTGGCTCAATGGATAGAGCATCGGCTTGTGGACTGAAGGGTCCCGGGTTCAATTCCGGTCAAGGGCATGTACCTTGGTTGCGGGCATATCTCCAGAAGGGGGTGTGCAAGAGGCAGCTGATTGATGACTCTCTCTCATCGATGTTTCTAACTCTCTTATCTCTCCCCCTTCCTCTCTGTACAAAATCAATAAAATATATATATTTTTTTAATTACAAATTACAGAATAATCAATCTAGAGTAGTGGTTGGCAAACTCATTAGTCAACTGAGCCAAATATCAACAGTACAACAATTGCAATTTCTTTTGAGAGCCAAATTTTTTTAACTTAAACTTCTTCTAATGCCACTTCAAAATAGACTCGCCCAGGCTGTGGTATTTTGTGGAAGAGCCACACTCAAAGGGCCAAAGAGCTGCATGTGGCTCTCAAGTTGCATTTTGCCGACCACTGACCTAGAGAATTATGTGAAGACGAGCTGAATGTAAGTCCTATAACTAAGAAAATTAAAAAGCCACTAAGCAACTAGTAGGAGGCGGAGACATGAAATGGGCTGGCCACATGCCCAAGTGTGGCCGGTGAGAATTGGGAGGGATATCACAGCTACAGAGGTTCCCCCTGAGGAGCCAGGGGTCCCAGCCCCGCCCTGGTCTCCCCTCAACACGTGGCTGTGAGAATCAGTGGGGATCCCATCCATCCATGGGAGAACGGAAGGCCGCTGAAAACCCGGGCATCCTCTGAAAGGGCTGATGCCCAGACTCCATTTGTTGCAGGCACTCACCATGCGCTCCTACGGATGGACAGACAGGAAAAAACCGAGTTGTGTGGCTTCAGGGATAGAGCCGAGGGCACAGTGGCCACTGACCCTGTGTTGAGCCTACAAGGGGGATATTACAATACCAACCTGATGAGGTTTTTGAAAGGCTTCAATTAAAGAGGTTTTTAATCTGAAAGCACCCAGCATAGCACATGGCAGTCACTCGAATCACGTCTGTTTATTCATTCCTCCCAGAACACCCCAATTAGACTTATTCACCAGGACCTGGATTACTTATGCCTGGATGGCAGGAAGCACTCAACTTGTGTTCTCACCTTAACGGTCAGGAAGCAAGGTGCCTAGCTTCCTCCATCCCTAAGGTATTTTTTTCTTCTATCAAAATACTGCAAACTGCCCTGACCAGTTTGGCTCAGTGGATAGAGCATCCACCTGCAGGCTGAAGGGTCCTGGTTGGATTCTGGACAGGGGTATGTACCTTGGTTGCAGGCACATCCCCAGTAGTGGTGTGCAGGAGGCAGCCGATCAATGTTTTTAACTCTCTATCTCTCTCCCTTTCTCTCTGTAGAAAAGTCAATAAAATGTTTTTTTAAATACTGCAAACTGCTCTGGTCGGTGTGGCTCAGCAGGTTGGGTGTGGTGGAGTGCTAGGTCAGCTACCCTTACCCACAACAAAAGAGAAAAGGGGCTGCCAGCGTGATTCCTGGTCAGGGCACATGTCTGGGGGCTCCATTCCCGGTAGTGAGCATGAGGAAGGCAGCCAATGGATGTTTTGGTCTCACATCAATGTTTTTCTCTCTCTCCTCTCTCTCTCACACAATCAATACCAAAAAAAATTTTTTTTTAATTGCAAACTGCCAAATGGGCTCCATGACATAAGGAACTTAAAATGAGTTTAAGTGCAACATTTTCCCCACTAGGTGGTGCTGCACGTTAAAGCTTTCTCTCAAGTTCATTTATCCCCAATATGTTAATTTCTAAAGCAGGAAAGCTGACGGACGCCACTCAAAAGAAGAAAGAAGAATCGAGGTGTCACCAAAAAGATAATTTATTAATAATTCCTCAAAAAGAATAACACCAAAACAAGCTGGTTAATTGAACATTCGGTCACTTGCACAGCGAGCGCGGCCTGCGGGGCCGGTCCTGCTCTGGCGGAGCACAACCCGGAGGCCGAACGGCGCGCAGGGAGTCACATGGCGACCCGCCCTCAGGTGTCCTCACAGCCACGCCACCACGCCCGTGCCTCCTGAAGAACAGCCGTCCTCGCTGGTCTTCCGGCTCGCAACGCCGTGGACCGCCACGGGGCGTTTACGGCCAGGGAGGCCGAGGGCGCTGCGGCCACGGCGGCGCAGCCACCCCAGTCCAGCCCGAAAGCCGGGCCCACGTCGGGCCTGCGCGGTCCCCCCCACTCGCCCCTCCACCAGCCCCCGGGGCCGCGCCCCCTCCCGCACCGCGCCCTCCGCGCCCACTCACCATGGCCGCGAGGCCGGGGTTCCAACCCCGCAGCGCCGCCAACAAGCGCCGCGTCGCCCCCCGCACCCCCAGAGCCGCCGCCATGGCCGCCGGCCGGGAGCTGCCCGGCGCACTGCCTGCCCGCCGTCCGCGCCTCGGCTCCCCACACGCCGCCCCGCCGGCAGGCCCCGGCGCGGCCCGCCCCGGAAGGCCCCCGCGGCTTCACCAGCCCCGCAGGCAACCCCCGCCGGCCCCCCGCCGCGCCGCTCGGCACGCCTCCCGCCTCTCCCCGGTCCGGGTCCGAGCTTCCTCTCTGTGCGGGGTGGAGCGCGGCTGGCGGCGCTGGGCTTCCCTCCGCTCAGGTCTGACCGCCGGTCCGCGCCTCGGCGCCGGCCTCGGGGCGCCGCACACTCACGGACGCCCGGACGGAGCGGTGGGCGAACGGCCTCGCGGCCGGAGCCGGAGGAGATGAGCGGGTGGGGGAGCTTGGGGGCCTCCCCTGTGCTCGCGGGAGCGGCGGCCGGGGCGAGCCTGGAGGCTCACGTCCGCGAACCGGAGGTTCCAACAGAGCTTCGTGCTGCCTTAGCTGCCAAGTCCTTGGGCAGACCGGCTCACCGGCGACTGCCTAAATCCGGAACCCCGAGCTCTGTGCTGAGGAGCACCACAGGCGCGGCGCACAGGAGGCACTTCACAGATACATGTTGACGGATTTAGATTAAATTTCTGTATCGTTTTTCTGAAGAGGGGCATTTTTAAAGGCATTTTTACATGTGTGTATTCATTAATATTTTATTATCATTTTTTTGCCTTTTGTCTTTCTGAGATGTAATTCACATATAACTTAAAATTCACGTAGTTCAGCGATTCTTAGTATATTCACTTGTATCTGTTTTTAACTAGTCTAAGCAAATTAATAAGAGCAGTTTTGCAGAGGATATAACAATACACTATTTTTTTTAAAGGTGAGTCCATTTAAGTTCAGCTTAGCAGTTACTAGCATTAGTTTGTGGGGTTTAATATATTTTTATTGATTTTAAAGAGGAAGGGAGAGGGAGAAACATCAGTGATGAAAGATTATCATTGATCAGCTGTCTCCTGCATGTACTACATTTTAGCTATATTATGACTAGCTATGGGAAACACGTAACAGGAAGACGAGGGAAATACATGCCATGATCGCTTAGGCCATGACACAGAGGTGGGGCAGGTATTTACCATTCCACATATGATTAAGTATGAAGCTGCGTCCCACATACAATTAAGTCTATAGCTGGGAGCTACATGACCAAGAGCCAAGTTACTTAGGGCCTCATTTTCTCTTCTGTAAAATAGTAGTGCCAATCTCATTAGGCTTTTGTACTTGCCTTTGTAATCTGCCTTTCTCCCTACCACATCAAAGGAACAGAAATCCACGCCGCTGTTCGAAGATTAATGAAACTATATGTAAAACAGTACCTGGCACACACACAGTGATATTCAAGTATTGGTTATTATAAGAAATGGAATTATTAGAGGTTTTTCTCCTATATTTTAAGTGTAGATACATACATATAAAAGTTCAAATCCCAGCTTCATCAACTTACTGTGTGTGTGACCTGGGTGAGTTTTTAAACCTGTGTCTGCGTTTGCTCACTTGTAAAGTGGAAATAATAATGGTACTATTCTGAGCCACAGTTCCCTCCTGCCAGTGACTAGCCCAGCCACAGCTGTCCACAACATTACATAAAGTTTAAAATATCCTATATAATGTGAGAAGATTAGTCTAAAAGTTTCTATTTCCATAAAATTTAGGGTGCCTTGCCAAGATCGGTTTGGCTCAATGGATAGAGCGTCGGCTTGGGGACTGAAGGGTCCCGGGTTCGATTCCAGTCAAGGGCATGTACCTTGGTTGCGGGCATATCCCCAGTAGGGGTTGTGCAAGAGGCAGCTGATCGATGACTCTCATTGATGTTTCTATCTATCTCTCTCCCTTCCTCTCTGTACAAAAATCAATAAAATATATTTTAAAAAAAAATTAGGGTGCCTTATGAAATGAACACAAATAATCGACAGGCTGGTGTGGCTCGGTAGTTGATCATCATCCTATGAACCAGGAGGTTAGGGTTTAATTCCCAGTCAGGGCACATGCCCGGGTTGCTAGCTTGATCCCCAATGTGGGGTGTGCAGCAGGCAGCCAATCAATGATTCCCTCTCATCATTGATGTTTCTCTCTGCTTCTCCCTTCCTCTCTAAAATCAATAAAAATATTTTTAAATAAGTAAATAAAATACAATCAGTATAAAAGTAATGTATCATCATGTTATCAGATGTCATATCTGAATTTAAGGAACCTTTTAAAAACAGCTTTTCAAAAAGTTTGTATAAAAGACATGTTATCTGTTTTCTATATGTGTCCTAAAACTAGACTAGATTAACTTGTGGGCCAGAATAGTGTTTTATATTTCTTTTGGCTATCACTAAACCTAGCACAGTGCTAACATTTTAAGATTCAAATAATGCATGCTGGTTAGATAACTATGACTAAAATTAAGTTATGCTTTAGCACAGAACTGTCACTAAAGAAGATTCAGTTATGATAATATCATTGACTTTCTCCTGATAGCTGCCTTACCCAGAAAAAAACTTAAGCCACTTAAAATTCTTTTAGTGAAATTAGAGGATATTTGACTCTTATTTTCCCATTAATTGCTACTTATAAAGTCATACTTATCAATTCTAGTTTATTCTTTCTGTAACAATACTTTCCTGCTTAAAGTCAGATAGAGAAACTGCAAATGAACAGAAAACCAACCTTTTTAGACATGTAAGGAATCAAGAGTTCTCTAATCTGAAAGTCCTATTTCTGCCTTCCATAGAGTAAGCAGAAATATCATTCTACTCATTATTCCACCAAAATACATCTTCACATTTCAAACGGATTATTCCCTTAAAAAATGGATTATGTTCAAATAGAAAAACAAGAATGGTGAATTCTACTGAATATTTTTACATTTGCTTACTGCAATACGAGTTAAAACACCAGTTTATACTTTTTTTTTTTTTACACATTCAACAGTTTAACAAATGCATGATTCTTTGAAGTTGTAAATCAACTCTTCATTGGAGAAGATGTATGAAATTGCAGCATTAATTTCTGAAATGAAGGATTGAAATTCCTCTTTCCAACTTCCTTCAGTCCATCTCTACTCCACATGTTCCTGCTCTTGTCCTGGAATTAGCCACCGAATGCTCTCAGTTCGAATAGTAGCATACATAATAAAACTAATTAAAAAGAATAAGGAAAATACAAGCAACCAGTCCACGCTTTTTATCAAAGTGCTGGGAAGAGGGCCTATTTGGTCGGCTTGAGTTACCACCACATTTTTCTTGGCTTCTATACCTGCAAGAGAGAACAATTATTTGAAATCAGATAGAAAACACACCCGCTACAGATCTTTCTGAAATATTTTGCATGACATGCAGTCTTAAATACCACTGGTACTATATCTGGGATGGGTTTCATCTGTCGGTGTAATTTGTAACTTGCCTTTCTCCCCACCATATCAAAGGAACAGAAATCCATGCCGCTGTTCCAAGCTAAAACACTAGAATTTCTGTGAGCTCATCAGGGTGTTGTAAGAGTTGTCTTTTGAAACCAAAGTCCAACAAATAACTAGTAAAGCTACTCTCAGGAGTCTAAAGAAGGTTTTCACAAGTAAAGTAATGTTGCCGAAACCGGTTTGCCTCAGTGGATAGAGCGTCAGCCTGCAGATTGAAAGGTCCCAGGTTCGATTCCAGTCAAGGGCATGTACCTTGGTTGTGGGCACATCCCCAGTGGGGGTGGGAGGGTGCAGGAGGCAGCTGATGGATGTTTCTCTCTTATCAATGTTCCTAACTCTATCCCTCTCCATTCCTCTCTGTAAAAAATCAATAATTAAAAAAAAAACAAGTGATGCAAAATACAAAATGCTTCTAAATAAATTTACTAAAAGAATTGTTGGCACAGATAACAACTGGAATCGGTGATTACAGATTTCATTGGTATCCTGGGTTTTCTGGGAGCACTGAATAAAATAGCTCCCTTTCTCCATATCAATCTGAATGACAAGACTTGAAATAGCTAACCACCTGGTAACAAGCCTTCTTCTCCTATGAGGTCACCAAGCCCTTTGCTATTTATTGTTAGATATAAGTAATTACATACAACTTAATATGTAAGGAAGGTATGTTATAATTTGTATTTATTTTCAGGGAATATACTTTAAGAAGGAGATGGATGCTTATTATTGAGATGTTAAAAGCTTTTGAGGAATAGACTTTTCCAATGAAGGAAATTTCTTCCATGTACAAGGCCATCTGGTTTGGCAAATATTAAGAAATTAAAATAGCATCTGCAAATGGATTAATAAGTGGAATACTATACAGTACAAAAAACATAAACATACACAACAATGCAGATGAATCCCATAGATATAAGAGTGAAGTGTTAGCCGGTTTTCCTCAGTGGATAGAGCATCAGCCTGTGCAGACTGAAAGGTCCCGGGTTGGATTCTGGTCAAGGGCACATGCCTGGGTTGCAGGCTCAATTCCCAGTAGGGGCACACAGGAGGCAGCTGATCAATGATCCTCATCATTGATATTTCAATCTCTCTTACTCTCTGAAATCAATTTTTAAAAAAAAAATTTTTAAGTGAGTGAAATGAGCCAGATACAATCTAGTCTCTGTCTCCATTAATATAAAGTTCAACAACAGGTAACAGTAGTCTGTGGTGCTGAGAGTCAAGATGGTGGTCATCCCTGAAGAGGGCAGGAGCAGCAGTGCTAAAGCGGGGCTGGTACTATTCTCTTTCTGGATCGGAGTATTGTTACCCACGGTGTTCGCTTTGTGAAAATTCACCACCCAGTTCACTACTGACTGATGCATATTTTTGTGTAAATATTACACTCAAATGAAAAATGGATTTAAAGAGGTATCTACAGGTGTATGATATGTGAATTCTATCTCAAAGTCCTTTTTTATTTTCTTTTTTAAGTATATTTTTATTGATTTCAGAAAGGAAGGGAGAGGGGGAGAGAGATAGAAATATCAATATTAATGAGAATCATTAATAGCTGCTTCCTGCACGCCCCCTACTCAGGATTGATCCTGCAATATGAGCATATGACCTTGACCAGAAATGAACCCTGGAC